TGTGTAACTGGCACATAGTATAAATTTGTTAAATATTATTGAAACTTGTGTTGAACCTAAAGGAAAGACTTCTGACTGTAGCCACAAGGCACCTTTGGAGGTTGGTCTATGTGTGACATGGTACCACGCTCCCACTGTGGCTACAAAGAAATGTGGGAGAAAACAATCTCCTCCCACCCTCCCAAATAGAATACAGAGCTGAAAGATGAGAGACGGGAAGGGAAATCTCCAGGTGCCCCAGGAAACGTGCAACTAGAGCTGGTGCCAATGGCCCAAGTTACATCAGACAGGTAGAGGCTCCAGGGGGCAGGGGCTAGGTGGGGCTGGGGCGAGGAAGGGGAGAGGGGCTGAGAGGTAGCCTTGGGGCAAAATAAAGAGGAGAGAGCTTGATCAGGGGGAAATCCGTGAGGCCACAACCGGGGAGGACCCCGCTGCTTAAAGAAAGCAATGTTCATCCCAATGTCTTCAGGACCCTCTCCCTGCCTTAGGGAGAAGGGGAAGGGAAGGGGGCTGTGGGGAGGGTGAGCGGAGTTGAACACCAATTCGAGTAACCAAAGCCCCAAATTTGTACCATTCACAGGTGTAGAATCTGAATTTACACCAAATCTCCAAGCCAAGAAATTCAGGGGCTTCCCAGGTGGCGCAGTGGTTAAGAATCCGCCTGCCAATGCAGGGGACACGGGTTCAAGTCCTGGTCCAGGAAGATCCCACATGCCGCCGAGCAACTAAGCCTGTGCACCACAAATACTGAAGCCCTGTGCTCTAAAGCCCGCGAGCCACAACTACTGAAGCCCGCACGCCTAGAGCCTGTGTTCTGCAACAAGAGAAGCCACCGCAATGAGAAGCCCACGCACCGCAACCAAGAGTACCCCCGCCCGCCACAACTAGAGAAAGCCCGCGTGCAGCAACAAAGACCCAATGCAGCCAAAAATTTTAAAAATTAAAAAAAGAAATTCAACAAAATCCAAGTCTTGGACCAGTGAAATCCCAAAAGAAGTCAATGCCAAATGTATGAGTAGCAAAACTTTGGCAACCTGGTGGGTCTCGCGTAAGAAGAAGTAACGTTATTCCCATAGAAGACAGTCTCATATCTGCAAAGCACATGGGGAATGAATAGGGAGATTAGGAAACATTTAATTAAAAATTGGTATCAGATCAAGTAAACTTTAAGGCTAAAAAAGTATTAAAGATGAGGAAGGTCACTACATAAAAGGTACAATTCACCAGATCATATAATATTCTTGGATTTGTATACACTTAACAAAGTTTCAAAATAGGTGAAGGAAAGAGAAAAATGACAAAACTACAATCATAATTGGTTAATATTTGTAAAAGACAAAAAATTAATCAGGATACAGATCATTTAAACAATGCAATTTTAAAAGCTTAATCAAATAAGTTAATAAAGTAAACAGAGGGACTTCCCTGGAGGTCCAGTGGTTGGGACTTGGCCTTCCAATGCAGGGGATGTGGATTGGATCCCTGGTCAGGGAGCTAAGATCCCACATGCCTTGTGGCCAAAAGAACAAATTCAATAAAGACTTTAAATAAATAAATAAATAAATATGCAGAAATTGGCCATCTCTTATGCTACCAAGCGAGTCTCACAAATACCAAAAAATTGACCACATTATCTGACCACAACACAATATTAGAAACCAATAACGAGAAGACAGCCAAAGCATGTATTGTAAAATGTATTTCTAAATAATTTATGGAAATTTAAAATTCAAATTTAAAATGTTTTCAATTGTAAAATTTTAGATATCAAAAACAATGAAGACACTACATATCAAAACTCATGAAACATCTAAGGAAATACTTAGTAGCATATTGATAGCCCTAAATACCTATTAGAAAAAGAACATTTGAGAATTAATTACCAGAGAATTCAACACAAGAAGCTGCAGAAAGAATCACAAGGTAAATCCAAAGAAAGCAGAAGAAATAAAAGCATAAACTGAGAAAATGGGAAGCAAAGAAACAACAGAGTTGATTTTTTTAAATAATAGTTCTTGAAAACAAACCTCTGGCAAACTGATAAAGAAAAAAAAAGAGCAAAGTCACAAATTTAAAATGGCAAATAGAATTGAGGTTTTAAAAATTGTAAAAGAATACCATGTAACGTATTATACCAATAAATGTGGAACCAGAAAGCAGGAGCAATTTTCTAGAAAAATAACTTTACTTACTTTAACTCAAGAAGAGGATGAAAATCTAAATAAACCTAAAATATTAAATAAATTGGAGTTTGGGTTTTTTTTTTCCCAAAGCCATGCATATCCACTAACACTCACATAAAAATTACCAGACCAGATGGTTTTACCTTCTGCCAAATGTTCAAAGAAAGATATTCCTTACATGACACAAATTGTTCTAGAGGGTAGAGAAAAAGGACTCTCTCTCCAAGTCATTTTATGAAGAGTATAACCTTACAGCTTTGAAATAAAAAACAGACAAAGATAGCACCAGAAGGGGAAATTATGGGCCAATTTCACTTACGAACACAGACGAAAATTTTCTAAATAAAATCAGAACAACAGGAGTTAAAAAAAAAAAAAAAAAAAAAGCAAAGTAGAAATGGTTTGTCTTAGAAATATAAGGATGAATGAACACCAGAAAATGTATCAATATATATTCACCACATAAATAGACTAAGGGAGGAAAATAGAGAAAATTATTAAGTAGACACCACAGGAAAAAATCATGATACATTTCATCATTCCTTTATAAAAAAAAACTCTTAAAAAACTAAGAGGAGAACTTTCTCACCTTGATAAAAGATACAACCAAAAACTTAGAGCAAATACTATATCTAATGGAGAAACATTAGACACATTTTTGTTTAAGATTAGCAGGGAGATAAATGTGCCTGATTCCAGTCATTGTTCAGCATAATGCTAGGTGTTCTGGGCTATGCTATAAGACATGAAAAAGAAATTAGAGGTATGAGGACAGTTACATAGAAAATCAAAATACTCAACACACAAAGTGATAGAAATGATAAACTAAATGAGGTCATTTGCCTGATTAATAAAAACTACAAAAATCATCAGTGTGTCTCTACACCATCAATAATCAACAGGAAGATATCCTGTAACCATGATGGAGTAACTGGTACTAGACTAGCCCTCCCACTGTGAACAACCAAAAAACTAAAGAAAACATAAGAAACAACTGTTTGCAGATATTTTTGGACAAGAGGCATCCCAGGACTACAGTCTCTGAGACAAGAGAAATATGAGGTGAGCTCTAGTATCACCCCAGCTTTCTGCTTGGAGCTACTCTCTGGACAGTGGTACAGGAAGTGGGGAAAGCCAGGCAGAGCATGGTAGTCTCCCTGAGTTAAAGATAGAGAAGGCAGACTTTGGGGAGATTGAAGTGGCTGGAATTTGTGAGATGGAGTACCAGAGAGAAGGGAGCCAGCTACTCAGAGAAAGAACTGCAAAAATCTGCAGAGGGTCCCCTTGAGTCTTTGGTGGAAAAGTAGGCTGGTCATAGAAGGATGAAACTGGCAAAGAAAAACCACCTAGTAGCTGTCAGATAAAAACCCCTGGGGGGTTCACACAAAGCCACATATACTTTATTTTTCCTTTAATATTTATTTATTTGGCTGCACGCAGTCTTAGTTGTGGCACACGGGATCTTTGTTGCAGCATGCGGGATCTTTTTTTTTTTTAGTTGCGGCATGCAAACTCTTAGTTGCGGCATGTGGTATCTAATTCCCTGACCCGGGATTGAACCCAGGTCCCCTGCATTTGGAGCACAGAGTCTTAGCCACTGGACCACCAGGGAATTGCCCTGCCACATATACTTTAAAAACAACAACAGGGCTTCCCTGGTGGCGCAGTGGTTGGGAGTCCGCCTGCCGATGCAGGGGACATGGGTTCGTGCCCCAGTCCGGGAAGATCCCACATGCCATGGAGCGGCTGGGCCCGTGAGCCATGGCCACTGGGCCTGCGCGTCCGGAGCCTGTGCTCTGCAACGGGAGAGGCCACAACAGTGAGAGGCCTGCGTACCGCAAAAAAAAAACAACAACAGTGTGTTGATGTTGTAGGGACAGACAAACCAATGACACAGAATGGAGACTTCAAAAACAGTCCCATGTATAAATGAGAATATCCTAAAAACATACTGTTGAGTAAAAAAAACAAAAACAAAAAAAATAGCACAAATTCTAAATCACAACATTTATGTAAATTAAAAATACTTTATGGGCAACCACCTGTTTTGAAAGATAATTAGATGTCTAAGGACATATGTTAAACAGGTTAGAACAGGTGTGGGAAGGGACGGGAGAAAGAGGATGGAATTAAGAGGGTAACTGAAAGCAATAAATGATTTTATTTGATTTTCAATGGCCTGATGATCCTGGTGCACCATAAAGTCAGGGTATAACTAAACTGTTCTTTGCACCTGAGGTCCAGTTTAAAAAAATTAATTCACAGGGCTTCCCTGGTGGCGCAGTGGTTGACAGTTCACCTGCCGATGCAGGGGACACGGGTTCATGCCCCGGTCCGGGAAGATCCCACATGCCGCGGAGCGGCTGGGCCCATGAGCCATGGCCGCTGAGCCTGCGCGTCCGGAGCCTGCGCTCCGCAACGGGAGAGGCCACAGCAGTGAGACGCCCACGTACAAAAGAAAAAAAATTAATTCACAGAATTTGAAGATTTGGGGAGAAAAAAATGATACTATCATTAGATGTAGAAAAGGCTTTGATAAACTCAGTATGTCTTCATGATGAAAAAATAATTAAACTCAAAATAGAAGAGAACCTCTTAGCTTGACAAAGGGCATCTGTAACAACTTTGCACCTGCAGTGGTGGACCTGCTGGCAGATCCAGGCAGGGTGGGAGCCATGGGGAACGGGTCATGGTCTGTTGCAAAAAGAACCCAGCGTGAGAGTCCTGAAAGAGGAAAATCGGGGTGGGGGGCTCCCAGGAGTCCCCCGGGGTCCAAGTGACACAGAATCTCATGCTGGTCTACCTCCCTTCCATAGGATGAACAAGACTCTGAACAGCAGCCAGACCCTGGCAGCAAACTGGAGCAGCCCCGGGGTGCACATGCTGGGCACGGCCCACTGGGTGCTGGGCGCCCTGGTCATGTTCACCTGGGTGGGCAGCCTCATGGGCAACGGCCTGGTGGTCTGGCTGCTGGGCTTCCATGGGCAGAGGGGTCCCTACAAAGTCTGCATCCTCCACCTGGCCGTGGTCGACCTCCTCGTCCTCCACGCTCAGCCTAGAAAGCATCCCACTGGGGTGGGATGGGCCATGCATGGGCCACGTGGCCGACCCACGAGGTGGTGAGGACGGGGGAGCACTTTGCCCAGGTGGCTGGCCTGAGCCTGCCGACGGCCATCAGCACGCAGCGCTGCCTCTCTGTCCTCTTCCCCATCTGGTACAAGTGTCACCGGCCCCGGCACCTGCCGGACACGGTGTGCGTCCCGCTCTGGGCGCTGTGGCTCCTGCTGAGCACACTGGCCTAGGTCTGCAGCAGGTTCTGGCACCGGGACGAATGGCAGTGCTTCACGGTGGACTTGACCGTCAGCGTCCTCATCACGGGGGGATCTTCACGCCTGCGACGGCCACGGCCAGCCTCACCCTCTGCACGCAGGTGCAGAGAAGCTCCCAGCGGCGCCGGCCCACGCGGCTGTACGTGGCCATCCTGGCCTCCGTCCTGGTGTTCATCTGCCTCCTGCCCCTCGGCATCTCCGGGTTCCTCCTCTACTGGCTGGACCTGCCCCAGCGGATGAAGACTCCGTTCAGTCGCTTCGCCCGCCTCTCCCTGTCCGTGAGCAGTAGCGCCAACCCGGTCATCTACCTCCTGGTGGGCAGTCGGGGCGGCCGAGCCTGCGGGAGCCCCTGGGGGCCGTGCTGCGCAGGGCGCTGCGGAAGGAGCCCGAGCTGGAGGAGGGGCAGACGCTCTCCACTGGCACCAAATATAAGGCAGGGGTCTGAGAACACCGCGCCCTGGACGCCGCCTGCCTGGCTGGCCGGCTGTTGGGAGCCCCGAAGGCTTTGCGTCTCACCCTCTCGGGGTCCCCTTCCTACCTAACAAGGCTCCCCCACTGAATGTCATGTCCCAGATCTCACAATGCAGCTCAGCTGGGAAGATGAAACGTAATTTTTTTGCTTGGGGAGGATGTTCTGGCTAGAGGGCAGATGTTAGCGTTCAGCCCTGGCCTGATTGATGCTAATTATCTAAATCGTCTCTACAGGTGGGTAGCATGCTTCCCATTTGGGTGGGAAGGGGCGCCCTCCCAGCCTCCTCCCCCTAAGACGGTATCTTAGTACAGGAGGTGGGATGTGGTTCGTGTGACCCTGTGGGCCCAGGCTGGTCCTTGGGCATGTGCTGGTAGCAGCTGGCCGCAGGGTGGTGCCCCTGGTCCACCTTCCACCAGGTGTCCGGCTGACCCCCTCCATCCCTGCAGGCTGCAGCCAGTCAACTGTGTTGCCACTGCTGACCCAGCTCCCGCTGGCCACGCACGGGTCATGAGATGGCCTTGTCCTCCATGTGGCCCCTGGGCGGCACCTGACCCCCGGCCTTTGCCTTCGGGTCACCTTGCACCCACGGCAGGTCTGATTGCTTTCCCCCAGGAGGCCACACTGCAGCCGGAGAGCCCCTGGCCGACCCCTCTGGAGAGGGGCAATTGTTGAGGGGACGGCGCCCCAGGAGGCGGGGGCAGCCTGGAGGCAGCTGCATCCCAGAGACCCACGTGACTAGCAGAGCGAGAGTCTGTGCTCCAAATGATTGCCCCCCGCCAGGGTCTGCCTCAGCTTGCCCCAAACACTTCTCCCCTTCCGGTGCCAAAGTGCAAAGAGGGAAAACTGGGGGCGATGCCCTTCTCCCCACCCTCCCTCTTTTCTTCCCACCAGCTCCTGGGTCCAGGACAAGAGTGGATGCATCACACCCTTTGCTACTGTCCAGTATCCGGCCTCGTGCCTGGGGGCTTGGGTGGAAAGGGGGCGTCATGGGAGGTCCATGATGGGAAAGCATAAAGAGGAGGGGGGAGGAAAGACAGGAAGTGGAAAGGGCGGCTCCCAGGACCCCAGCCCCACCCGCACGGCGGCGTCTTGCCGTGTGATCCTATTCTGTGTATCAGTAGCAGAAGAATACTTTGTTCCTTCTCTTGGCATATCCTTCCAAAGCAGTTCCCAAGCTCCTCCTGAAACATGGAGGCTCCGAGCCAGATGGGGCCAAGGTCAGAGCTTCAGAAAGGAAGAGAAAAGCTCGTTGATGATCTATAAAAAGTACAGTATCGCAGCACATCTCCGCGTCTAGAACTGGGAGAGTCCTGGGAACTAGTGTGTGTGGAGCTGGGGCCCGTCGTCCTCGCCTCCGCTGCCCGCCCCCACCCCCGCCAATCCCTGTCCTGGCCTCCCCGTGGCATTCACTGAACTGAGCTGAGGACTGCGCGGCGCCTGGAAGCAGGTGTGCTCTGAGTGCCCTCTGTTCCCTGGGTCACCTGCTTTCCCATCTCAGCTCAGACCCCGAGGTCTGCGTGTCCCAGGGAGGTGTGAGAGGTGGAGGCTCTTTATCAGTCATTCCAGGCATCTTACGGAGCACCCAGCACCAGTTTGGACCTTGCATGCCATACGCACTAATAAGCGCTCATTTGGCTAGTAAGAATAACTGACACCTGTGTAGTACTGTGTAGCAGCGGGGCTCAGAGAGGCCAATGTTTTGTCCAGCGCCACACAGCTAGCGAATAGAAAGGCTATGATTTAACCCTTATCTTTTGACCACAAGCCCCATCCGTGCTCCATAGCCTCCTCTAACCTGGGCAGGGACAAAGTGGCCCATCTGAAGCAGATGGTCAGTGATGAGGGAAACCTCACCTCTTGGGGGTAAGTGAGGCGAGGCCCATCACAGGGTCCCTCAGCTGCATGTGGAAGGAGAGGAGCCCTAGAAATTATTCACACAGTTTTGTTCGTTTGTTTGTTTTTTAATTTTTGGCTGCACCGTGCGGCATGTGGGATCTTAGCTCTCCGACCGGTGATCGAACCTGCGCGCCCTGCATTGGAAGGCGGAGTCTTAACCCCTGGACTGCCAGGGAAGTCCCCACACAGTTATGTTTTGGTAAAATTTACTATATTCTACATCAGGCCACGTGACGCTGGCATGGCTGCAGGTATCCAGGGGATCTGGCTAAGGGAACGTGGAGTTGGTGGCACCTGCAGTGTGGGCTTCGTGGGGAACATTTATGTGATTCACAGCCCCCATTTCTGTGTGTAGCTGTGATCAAGGCAAACCATCTCGGCAAAGGAATGCCTTTCAGGGGCGTTCCCACCACCCACTGTGCCAACTCGCCCGGCAGCATCCTGGAGAAAAATGCAGGCCCAGAGTTGTAAGGAAATCGGAACATCTCCAGAATTGAGTGGGGGGTGGGCAGTGGAGAAGAAATAGGCTTGAAATGTACATAACCGGAAGCTAGTCTATGGGGAGATTCCTATCTCACGGATGCCTAGTCAGAACAGTTCTCATCTGTAAGAAATATCCTTGAAATTGCAGCATGTATAACCATAAAACATGCTATACCTTTTTTTTTCTACAGGAGACGTGCAAAAACGCAGTTTATCAGACATCCTGTCTTTGTAGGCATAATCCTGACCGGCAGAATGTCTGGGTGAAGTTACATGTGTTATGCATCTCAGCTATTGCTATTGTTAAATAAATCTGATCATTGAGGAGAAACCAAGTTCTCTTTCTACTTTCTCTATAGAAATACTACAAAATGTGCAAAAACAAGAACTTGGGGTCACACGGTTGGGGTGGGAGGTGCATCTGGCCTCTGTCACACGCTGGCGGTGCAGGCTCGTCAAGTCACTAAGTCTCTCTGATTCTCCCTGTTCACGTCTTTGAAGTGGGGACAATACTAGTCCCCGTCTCCTGGGTTCACAGAGCATTCAATGAGATGATCGTGCTGCGTTTAGCTGTACATGGCCCACAGCAAGGACTCAGTGAGTGCTTACTATTTGTATGCGCCGGATCTTTTGGAGGACTGGGGAGGGATGCACCCAGCCTCTGGTCCCCTTTCCTAGGACCCCGCAATTTACTACTGTCCCTCTTTTCAGGACAACTTGGTTAATCAAGGAGACCTCCACTCCAGAGACCATAGGGGTCCCCTGAGTCTCTCCTATCAGGTCCTCACCATCCCAGAACATCTAAGGGCTGATCTAGGACCTACACTGGCCAGGTCCCTCTCTCCCAGGATGCTGAATCATGAAGAGGGCAGGAGAAGCATCTGGAAGTCATCCATTCCCACAGTGGCAACCCGACACTTAACTCAGATCTTGTCCCGATGCCTGTTCTGTTTTCAAGCTGGTTCTCCAGTCTGGGTGTTGATTGCCCAAGCTCTCCGTTCTCTTTCCAGATGATGTCCTTTATTACTTGACCACAAGAGGTTTTTGTTGCCTGCACCAAGGAACACTAACTTACACAAGAACTCCTATCAGAAAGGCAACAGATCTTCCAGTTAATAACGCAGGGCTCTGAGAACTGAGACCTGGCTGAGGGCGCAAGGCTGGTAAAGAATGAGCCCCAAAACTCCCTGCCGCGTGGGCTCCCTGTAAGTCCCTGGAGGCGGCCCCGCGCTGTGTCCATGAGGTCATATGTTCGTGGAATTTGCAAGGTGATGTATTTTAACCAGGACTGGTTACCCCTGATGCCCTATTCCTCACCAACTTCCCTTGTCACTATCCCCTTCTTGGCAGTGACGTTGGAGTGGCCACGGACGGACATTTGGGGGAGGCTGAGTCGGAGATAGCCTCAGTTTCGGTTTAGTGACAGATATATACGTAGTTCACTCTCACTTCCATGTAACGATGGTTCCCAGGTCTGATTAATGGGTTTACCAGTGTCAGGACACAAAGGGTCTGGGTGGTGGAGGAGAAATGTACAAGCCAGGAGCCAGGCTATGGGAGAGCCTTCCAATCACCAGATTCACAGCATTTTTTTTTTTTTTTTTTTTTTTTTTTTTTTTTTTTTTATGGTACGCGGGCCTCTCACTGTTGTGGCCTCTCCCGTTGCGGAGCACAGGCTCTGGACACGCAGGCTCAGCGGCCATGGCTCATGCCCCGGTCCGATAACGCAAAAAAAAAAAAAACCCGCTCTAGAGCCCGCGAACCACAACTACCGGCGGCAGGCGGATTCTCAACCACTGCGCCACCAGGGAAGCCCCAGATTCACAGCATTTTAAATGGAGGAATCCGTTCTCCGGGATGCTACGCCGTAGCAAACAACTGTGATGCACCCTAGATCCCATCAGAGAAAAAGCTGCCCACACAGCCGTTGACGTCTGCAGTGTTTCCAGTGGTTATAGGTGTTCTTTCCGAGTCCATCTTGTAAATGGGATATTTTAACACACAGCCCAGCCAGGCTTCTCCTCTGAAACAGCTGTCATAACGAGAGAGTAGCCCATCACAAAGCTGTTCAAGGCATATGTCACGGGGACGGTGACATTTTCAAGACTCCAAAATATATTTTTGAAAACTGGATGATGTGGAAGAAAAACAGAGATTGTAAATAACAAAAAAAGATTGTTCAAATGTGGAAAGATATTTTGGAACATTTCCAAAAATAGTGAAAAATTATAAACTCTTGGCTTAAATAGATATGAAAATGACCTTCTTTTGTTATCTTTTTCTTTGTGTGTGAAAGAAGTAAATGTTCAGATTAAAATTAATGAACTGTGGTAAAAAAGGGATAAAGATAAATAATGAAGTCAATAGAAGTTACTTTGAAGAGAGCTGAATTGTAGCCAAAAGTAATTCCCCAAGAGGAAATCATTTTAGAATAGAAGAAATGAATGAGCTCTTGGATCCTGATAATCTGATTGATGAAGAGAAACGTGTCTTAAGAACACGTTGGGGGGCTTCCCTGGTGGCGCAGTGGTTAAGAATCTGTCTGCCAACGCAGGGGACACGGGTTCGAGCCCTGGTCCAGGAAGATCCTACATGCCATGGAGCAACTAAGTCTGTGCACCACAACTACTGAGCCTGTGCTCTAGAGCCCGTGTGCCACAACTACTGAAGCCCGCGCGCCTAGAGCCCGTGCTCCGCAACAAGAGAAGCCACCGCAATGAGAAGCCCGCGAACCACAACGAAGAGCAGCCCCTACTCGCCACAACTAGAGAAAGCCCGCGCACAGCAACAAAGAACCAATGCAGCCAAAATAAATAAATAAACTAATTAGTTAAATTAAATTTTTTAAATGTATAGGACATTACCAATAATGAATTGTGGAGCTAAGAAACATTTTTAAACTACTAATATTACAAAATAAATGTTGATCAGCCATGCTAAAAAAAAAAAAAGATCGAATTACCTTTCAGCTCTCTCTATGGAAAATATTCAACACTATTGACGTATTTAAAGGCTATCAAAGAATGTGCAGCCAAAAAAGGTAGGAAAAAACACTGCAGATATTTTTCTCTATTTTGCATTATTTGTGGTATTTGTGAGCTTTTAAAAATCTGTGATTTGGGCTTCCCTGGT